AAGAAGGGCGATGACCTTTGCCCTTCGCCATATTTTCGGTAGTTTTCCCGAGTTAAGGATGTTGCTGAATAGTTTCGCAAGCCAAGTGCGTGCTCTTTCTTGCAGATTTTTCAAAAATTCTGGAAGAATTCCGTCTTGACCTGCCGCCTTATGGGTTTTAGTGGCGGACAGAGCGGCGTCAATTTCGGCCTTCTTGAAAGGCTCTGAGAGTGTTGACGTCGAGACGCAAGCAGCAAGGGATGCCTTCAGGGCAGTTTTCACCTCCCTTTTGGTAGCCCGGCTCGCGGTTGTTTTTGAGTCGGTCAACAGTTGGGCAGCGATGTCGTCCGCGCTAACCTTCAGGTTTGTCGTTGTGGGAGCTGCACCACCAAGGCGTCGCAGCACATTCCAAGCTCGGCGGCTGGAGTGGGTGAAGTCAAGGCCCTCTGGGGCCTCGATCCATCTCTGTCGCCTTGCCGCGTCCAGCGACTCCGGACTCTTCGTACTCCCCGAGGAGTACTTCGCTTTCTGTGCTCCAGCCCAGTGTATACGTGCGTCTATGGTCGCGGGGGATGTTCTTCGCAGCCATTTTGAGGAGCTTCGGGAAACGGTCGAAATTTTCAGGGGTCGGTGGGATGCGGCCCACGGTTTTTCCGACTGCTTCTGCGAACCCCGGCCAATCTGCCCGTCGTAGGTTCCACCTCGGTGTGGGTGCACTTGAAATGCACGGGATTTCGAGGCCGACATGGATGACGATCGGCCTGTGTTGGCTCCTTGGGAAGGGGTCGAGTACTGTCCGTGAGGCCGGTAGTGGGGTCCATGCTGGTCCGTAGACGTAAAGCACAGGTCCGGCGTATATTCTTTCTTCCAGCGCGCGGACCGGAAACTTTGCTTTTGCTTGGCATCAAACAGCAAGTGTTGGTTATTTGCTGATGCCCAGTCAGCAAGCTGTTCTCCTGCGTTGTCGTTGGTCGGGTAGCCCCACAAACTGTGGTGACTGTTAAAATCTCCCGCGAAGACTGTTGGATGGACTGGTGGCGGAAGCGGTGGTGAAAACCACTGGGTGTTGGGTGGTTTGTACACATGATAAACTACCAGTTCCCCAATGTTCACAGCGATGGCGTAACCGTCTTCGGGTGTAGGGATGTCTTCGACGATGTCCCGCATGGTTGGCCTGGTGTAAGGGGCCAGTCCATTTTTCGGGTGGCATCGGCTGGAAACAAGGTCGAGTCCAGGAATCTGGAGCCGCTGCACGTGTTCTTGTGCCACGTGCGTCTCTTGCAGGAGCAGGACATCGATGTTGTTTTCCTGCACGAGTCTCGCAATGACTTCTCCTTTGGATCGGGATAGGCCCTCCACATTTAGTTGGCATACCCGAATTGCTGGGCCCACTTGACGATAGGATACGTTGTCTGTATAGTTCACGGTTTTTGACGGTCGACGAGACCTCGCACAACTACGATCTGACGACAAGCTTTGAAAGCTCCCGTCGATGGCGTAACGACGAAAATGAATTTAACCAGGACGCGAACCTCGCCTCGACCGGGCCGCGACCGAAAAAATGGAAACGAACCCGCGTTTGGGTTCGTTTCGGTTCGGTTCGAACCCGAGAGGAACCAGAGGCTCCACCGAGACGCGAACACGGGCTCGCACTCATCTCCGCGTCCGGAAGCGAACCTTCTGCCTTCGACTTGGATTCGTCGTCGACGGGAGCAGAGACGCGTTCAAGATCGGGGATCGATGGAAGATGCGATTCGTACCAATCCGACGGGAGATACTCCATTATTCATGCCTCATTTCTGTCGAGTTCGGTGCACGATATCTCATCCCTCTGTGCAGAACGACCTTCCGTTCCCCATCCCACGAAATACGATATGCTGCACTTCGTTTCCCTCCTTATCGTTCTCGCGTCGACTGACTCTCGGGAAAGCGAGAATCTCCCGTTCCTCCTGGGTCCTTCCCAGAGGAAACTTCGTGGAACGGAATCTAATAGACGCAGGCAGGGATGGAATTCCAAAGTCACGTACTCGACGTTAGCCTTTCCGTTTCGGAATGGAGTATTCATTCGATTAAGGTACGGGAAGCTAAGTTTCGGTATCGTGCGAGCTCCCCATCGCCTCGAGAGCTCGAAGGGGAGATGAGTAGGACTGCAGCAAATTAGGTTGAAGTCGGTGTCACGTTCCGCGGTTCCGAAACGACATTTCCTAAAAGAGGGGAAATTTGCTGCCAAAGAGATGGTCTCCGGATCAACTCCGTCATCCAAAATTGAATCTGCATTAAGAGGAATTCCAGGGAAATTCTGTGTTGCTGAAGAAGTTGATGCTGAAAATTTTCAAAAGCTGCATCTGCCGCCCCCCCCCCCCCCCCCCCCCCCCCCCCCCCCCCNAATTTTCAAAAGCTGCATCTGCCGCCCCCCCCCCCCCCCCCCCCCCCCCCCCCCGGGGAGAAGAAATCGGGGAAATGTTAGCCCTCCAATTGGGAAAATCCTGGCTACGCCGCTGCTGCTTAGACTTGAAGGTCGAAAGAATGGTCCGAGTCACGGAGAAACGTCCTTCGCTCAACGTCCAAGGCACTACTGCTCCTACAGAAAGGGGATGTTCAACCAAATTCTCAGTTTCTGTGGTCTCACTTCATCACGACTAGGACATCTCACCTTCAAGCTGTCATCTGAGACGGTGGTCGGCATGCACGATACCCATCTTTAGCCCGTATGCGTAAAAATGAATACTCGATTCAAAAATAAAACCCGTTTTGTTTCGATCGTCATGGACTGCTATAAGGAGTTGGAACGAGGGTTAGGTTTTTTTTTTTTCAAGTACCCTTGTCTCTGTCATTTACAGGTGGATCATAACACCAAGTGTAAGAATGGTCTGTGTTCCACCGTTTCAGAATTCAATTAAGTTTGGTATGCAGTCGGGTTATGATTATATTTTCGAACCTAATTGCGGGTCGCTGCGGCAAACGAAGTCCGAGATACGATGGTTTGAAATTTGCCCGAGGCAAAAAATTGCCTGCACCCCAGTAAACTTCCTGGGGGAATGAAAGTATGTCAACATCCATATTTTTATTCTGTAGGAAAATGTTCGAATATTTAATCACCAGTATTTAAAAAATGCCAATCGCAAGATCATTTGTTCGGTAATCTTGCCACACGCCTCAGATTTGAGGAATCGTGCATCTATTTCAAATCGGCAATCTGGGAATTAATTTAAAATCCGCGGCTGCGCCAATCGGGCCGATAACACAGGAACGTTGGAATGGTGAAGAGTCGGGAGGCATTTTTAGCTTCATTGGCAAATTCAAACTCCCCATATCTCTGTCCTTATTTACCGAAGAGATCTACAATTTTGGCTGCCAGATGTTCTCACCGTAATACGACTGCATGCTATATTTAATGGAATTCTAGGATCATCGAGAACAGACGACTCGGGACGGAATGATCCGCCTGTGACATTTGTAACGGGTCTTTTTTATTTTTTTAAAAGTATTTTTATTTAAATAATAGGACTGAAGGTTTTGTCACTTTATGGAAACAAGGCTACCCAAAACGGGAGCGTATCTAAATGCCGAAACCGAAAGTGGCATTATCGAATACTTGAAATGCCGGCGAATCAAATGGACGCCGCTCAAATATCGAATAAAATAGACGAACACATGTTTCGTCGTAGGAAAATCTCTTCGGCGAAAGCTGATTTTCGTCGATGGGTCGAAATGCAAGGGGGAAAAATAACGAGAAAAAAAATTTGTGTCAACGACGTGGTTCTTTGCTTGCTCTAGGCAAATTATAAAAATATCAACTTTGGAATCATACGTTTCATTACACAGTCCAGGGAGAAATCGTCTTCGTCAGGGTCGTTCTGAGTCAAGAAATATGTTGCATACGTTTCAGATGGAAAATCAGGAGCCCTCTCAAGAGAGACAAATTATTACAATACCCATAGGCACGTGAGGAATTCCCTGATTCCTGTTTATCTCTGATTTTTCCTCCCCTTGAATGTGATCCGTGGAAAATAAATGCTCCCTCATCTGCGGTTTTTTTGTGGAGCTGCGATAAGGCTTGGAAATGCATGTTTTCCGAACAATGACGATGCACGATATACAGGGTATGATGAAACCTTAGATCCAGACAGGATTCAAAAGTGGGACGCGCAGTAGCGCAACTTTAGCTAATAACCCCAGAGCAAAGCTGAGCGGAAGCATGCAGCCTGACAGCTAAAATGCTTTTGTTTTTACCCGCCCTGGTAAGCCAGTGGCGACGTGAACCTTTCGATTCCGACACTTCCATCGATGAATCCCTCGATGTGCGGTCGCATTCAGCTTAACTATCTATTCGTCGGCACTTATTCCGATAATTCGATACCAACCCACTGAAAACCTAATCCTCTCCCCCAAAACTCGTAGCCGTTCAATGACAACTCAGTTTTAATCGCGTTCACGAATACACATTTCTCCCATAGAAAATGATGGGGTAGTTTTTTTTTTCAACCACCATTCAGAGGATGTGAAAGCTTTAGGATTGCATTATCTCTTCGATCCAGGGTCACCCACCTACAAGCACTTGAGAGCTTTTGTTCTTAAGAAGTTTGGGATTGACTCTCGCAAGAGGAACACAACTAAAGCAAACTCGATTAACTGATTGGTTTACTGAAAAAGCGGCGAAGAGCATACTGCGCATGGAGAATAACCGAGGGCATATCTTAGGCAGTTGCCCATCTCCTACTGTGAGGTATTACTCACAACCATTAGCTTGCTAACAAGTGACCCTGTCCCTTAGTACACCCAACCTGCTCAGCCACCGACATCGAACTTCAAGTAAGGTATGACAAATGAAACACCAGGCTGATTCATGTTTAGAGAATAGGCATTTATTCTCTCCATAAGATAAAACTAAATGTCCCATTACACATGCTGAAAAAAGACAAAAACAACCTGAACAGAATAAGATCAAACAAAGGGAAAGCTCCTCTCATCTTCCAGGTCTATACAATTCAACCGGCTAGAGTTGCACAATGCCTAGAAATAAAAATGGCCAGGCCTAGAAAATGTTCCTCAGATAACCACTCCAAGGGAGGAGTTGACAGAAGAAAGAAAACAAAACAATGAAGGAAAGGAAAAGCAGAAAAGGGAGGAATCATCATTGCACAAACAGGGTGACAATTTTTCCTTCATGCAGGTATCGGGAACTTCTTGAGCAAAGTCCTCCTGCTCCCTTACTGTATGGAATTTAAAGTCGTTGAGGTAGATTGCAAGAAACGTAAATTCAAGGGAAGTCACTGGGAACCCCAGATATAGCCCTGGGTGAGAATGAGAGGATAAAACCCTCTCACTCATTAATACATAGTCACTTCAATTAAGCATGACCAATGAATTCCCAAATCTCACAAGTTCCACTTGTGAAGTCCCACTTGTTGGAAAAGAAACATATAAGATATTGATGACATTTCAGCTATCTTCACTACATGATCATCACGTTATGAACCACCCTGTGAGGAAGCTGAAGAAAAAGTCAAGGGCTCAAAATACTCTTCAAATCACGCGTTTCTTTCTCTATCATTTTTACATTGACTATGGACACGAGAAAAATCCAGGTACTTGGACATCTAGACAAAAGTCATTCTTGCATGCTCATATCCATGTCATGAGAAATTAAAATGAGAAGTTAACAGAAACTTAGTCCATTCAAATCCACATATCTATAGACTGGATCTCTTGAAAACCATGCACGCTTCCAACTCCAGGTACATCATGAACTGGATGTTAAGCAATGATTGTTCAACCCAAATACGCTACATCTTTGGAAGAAAATGCATTCTCTCCATTTCCCTCTCTTTGATTATGCATAAGCTCTAACAGTGCACTTAGAGGCATATGCCAGTGCACAGATAGTACCCTTGAATTCCTGTTTGATGCAAGGAGAATTCAATGTTGACATTTTCAACCAGTTTGGGAGAGAGATTCTTAAATATGAAGTTTCTGAACAGGAAATCTTAGATGGCAGATAATTTTGGACAAACTGCAAATAAATCTTAAATGAAAACTGTGACCTGATAAGTTCATTACTCATCATGTAGTACCTCACCATCTGATGTTACTAGATGGAAAACCACCAACCAGGAGTGAGTGAACTAGGAGCAAGTTGGTTGAAACATAAGAAAAAATATATCAAGCATATCTTTGACAATTACAATGTACTTGCAATAAATTATTATGGATTCAATCAGTAACAGTTTTGGAGAAGTCCAACCTTCAAAACATTTGCTGGTCTTTGATATTATCCATGTAAAATCTCTTCTCCCTCCAGGTTGGAACACATTATCTTAACTCTTATTTGGAAGGTTAGTTGGACAATTATTGCATAACAATGTCCAATTCAGGCTTATGAGAAAAGAAAGACAGCAAGGGACTCAAACCTAAAATCCACCTGAGACATACAGATGGAAAGAAGAGGAAGGAAGGAAAAAAAAGAATAATAACATGAATGAATCTCAAGAGGTAGCACAGTATTGATGACAGTTCTTACTTCTGTCGCATCCAAGAAACAACACAGAGGTGAAAATATTCTTTTGATTTGTACATGTCTCATGAAAAAAGTCCCTGAGTTCTTACCAGAATAGTGAAGTTGCACACAAACACACAAGTTGGAAGGGAAAAAAAAAAGAGATGAGATAGCAAGAGACAAGAGATCTGAGGTAGATCTAGGACACCTGATGACACAAAGAATGTGAGAGTGAGAATTGAACAGAACAAAATAAGAGTGCAAACAATGAGGCTTTTCTCTGTTAAAGGGGCAGGTACTGGGAAGGGACAGAAGACACGAGTTCCTCACCGGGATCGTTTCTGCAACCAATCAAGCAAGCTATTGCATTTGTACTACTGTCATACATGTCCTTCAAGTCTGACCTTCCTTTCCTGATTAAAAATCAGTGATTGAGTGATTAAGAGTAAGAGAATCATCAAGACAGAAGCCCAGCCGCAACAGTCATCAAGGAGGTAGGGGGAATACCTGAATGAGCCTGAGACATTCCCTGATATCCGATTGCCAAATATTCAGGACGAAGGACAGCTTCTCAACTCAACTTTCCCTTTTTTTTCTTTCATTCACCTTCATTCTCAAGGACATGGTGTCATCAATGAGCCTCTAGTGAATATTCGTTGCATCAGAGGGTGGTAGGAGACTTAAGATCTTAGGAGAAATCGGTTCCGGCTGGGCTCCCAAAACACAAGTCACAAGAGACAGACAAGCAAACAATGAATAAGGAATAGACACATGCAAACATGAGGTACCTTCCTTGAGCATCTCAGAGAATGACACCTGATTCTTTGATTCTTCACAGAAGCTACAAAAGGCGCTGGTATCAAGAGTGAAAGAGACATGAGAGTAAAACGGAAACTTTCAGGAATACCTTCGCTTGGTTGCATTGAAGAGGCAAGGGAAATTGTGTGATTCCACCTGCAATGAGTTCATTCACACTTTGCCAGGAAACCAAGGTCACTTTTCTTAAACTCTAACCTCCATCATTCATAAATAAAACTCAGAAGATAAAAAAAGTTAACCTTTGAAAGTTGAGTGGGCTCTCGATCGAGCCACTCACTACCCGCATCAAAGGGAAAAAAACAGAGTTGTTCCATTGAGGAAGTTCCTGAGTGTGAGACACACGAGAAGAAACAATTTGACCCGTCTTGGAATTGAGGGAAAGGAGGACAAAGGGGGGTGGGGGAGATGAATCAAGTGATGGCTGTCATCCCCTCACCACTGTCGTCTTCCTATGGTAAGCAGAACAGTTTTATTAAAATCCAGTCTACAACTGTACCTGGGCACACAAGGGATTGTGACAACACAGACCTGAGATGCCCTGAGTGGATGAGGATGAAGATGGGTTCTCCCCTTCCCATTCTTATTCCTCCTCAGTACATGATGTGAAATGCCATTGACTCCCTGCACCACTCCCCCTTTCTACAACAATAAAAAAAAAATCAAGCAGACCAAATGCAGACAAGGTGAAAAGGGGGAAAGAGAAAAGGTGAAACCTTGGAGTCATTGGCAATAGGGGTTGATAGTCCCTGAGGTAGCATGGGGGTGAGAAGACCCATTTCAATATCTCCTGGGCTTGGATGACATTTCCCACTCCCATTTTGATGTAGATGAGGTATAGCAGTGTTGGTGTTCACCTGGTGTTCACCATGTCCATTCATCCCCCATTCACCTCCGATCCCTTGTCTTCGCCCTCTCTGTCTCTGCCGTGACACCCACTTGTAGACAAGGAATCCCCCAATCCCCAACAATACCACACCAAGCCCAGTGGATACCCCAACCAAAACCCCTGGAACATCAAGTTCACAGTTTGGTCCAAATTGATCCATCATAATAGAGCACATACATAAAGGGATATGCTGGAGAGAAGGCAAGGCATGGAGATATCATCCTCTTTAGACAGTGGTGCTACAGTAGGGAAGATTCCATTCAGGAAATCTTATAAGCCAAATTCCACCAAAACTAATCTTCATTTAGCAATCTTACAAGGGCCATGCCCATTACATTTAGGTCATATAATGCCCGAAGTTGTGCAATCTCACAAACGAAAACACAGGGCAACATAGTACTTTACAAAAAAATATATTTTGTACAAGAGCTAGCAAAGAAGAAAAAGTACCCAATGGGATCCATTGAGACTCATCATCCTGGGCATAACTACCATTCACATGTACTTCAGTCCTCTCAGTGGTGGGAGTTGCTGTTTGATGGAAAATCGGAAGGTAGATGCGTAATGGTGGGTCACAAAGAGGACCCTTCCCTGCTTTTGTCTCAGTCTGGACCCGCAACAAGTATTGCACACCTTGCTTCAGCCCTCCCACCTACATTGCACAAAATCCACCTCTGCATAACCTCCCAAGAAAAAAATAGTAAAATGATGACAGACATATGACTCACTGTGGCCATGCGGTTGTTTCCCTCGATAGATAGGGACTTCCACTCCATTGGTAGCCTGAGGTCAGAGGAATACAAGATGTGATACTTGATTATCTCTTTTCTCTTGACTTCTGCTGGATGATGCCAGGAGACATGTACAGTTGACTCATTTACTGGTTGATATGCCACAGACTCTGGACAACCTGGTCCTTTGAAATGTCAAAAGAGGATTCACATCCCCCCTTCGTCAAGCATAAACCAAAAGATAAGTGAGGGTCAAATAATAGGTCTGTAGACATACGGTCTGGGAGTGTCTGGCACTCAACTTGTTGAGAACATAGACTTTGCTTCCCCTCATGGTGTCGCTGTACACAGAATGCATAGAAAGAGGAGCTCTCCAGTTCATTCACTTCTACTTCATGACCCCTAGTAATAGAAAATAACCCAAGTAATGTACATAGGCAACCAAAAAGGGGAACGAGAGAAAGAGGACTTTTTCATACGTGACGGTAAGATGCTTTGCGCTGTTAGGCTCAGAGCCTTGTGCCACAACTTTATGATAGTGGACAGTGTAGAAGTCGACTGGTTTTGAGTCTGGTTCCCACTTAACAAGAATGGCAGATGAGGAGATAGGGGAGGCTTGAGGAGTAGGTGGAGGAGGAGGTGTAGGTGGAGGTGAATATCTTGGGACAAATACAATTGTCTCATGACCTTCCTCCTGACCCACCATGGCCAATAGATGCACCTCATGCAACATTTCTGACACTAAGTTGAACAAACAAAATAACTGTGATATTCTCCTTTTCCTTCCAAAGGTTCCTCCATATAGGAAAGACAGAAAGACTAACCCAAGCCTGTAAGAAGGAATGAGGAGGAATTCCCAGGAAGGAATATGAATTTAGAAAACTCTCCATCGCCTGCACGATACCAGAGCTTGATCTGTGTGGGTTCAACTACATTATTCGGCATCTTCCAGGTTGCTATGATGGATGTGGCATTATTCCATTTTGCAGATAAGGTTGGAGGTGGCAGGGGTCCATCAAGAACTGGCATTCGCACACGATACCAAGGAACATCAGGGTTGCCAGGCTTTGTTCCATCCAGTACTAGCACCTCATACTCCTCATCTGTTTCTAGTCCTAACATCAACATTCAGCCACTTGCATGAACATGCATCATCTTCACAGCACTTGAATATGAATGAGATATTTTAGCCAGTACAGGTTCATTCCATCTCCTATCAGCCAGAGGATGACTCCCTCTGATATTGACGAAAACTGTTTATGTGGTACCTAGGGATGGGGCGGTCAATTGACCACCTTTTAATTGACCATTATTGACCACTAATTTATTTAATTCAGTGAATTAAGATATTTTTATAGAGCTCATAACTGTGGTCATTTACCCCCAACACTAAAACCAAAGAGCCAGTTCAATTTTTAAGCTTTGTTCATGCAGCCTGCCAAACACCTAGACTGTGGCACCTGTTGCATATGAAAACATTTTAGCAAATGCTCAAACTACCATGACCTATCACCTGAGTGATGCAGTGTGTGTGCAGGCATAGCTTGCTGTTCAAAGTTTTATAGCCTCAAGGACTTTCAAAGTTAAGGTTCAAGATCAAAGTAACAGCTTTAGAACTTTAGATTCTACAAGGTCAATCATGGTCCTGGCTAATAGTCTAATATGGCATCAGAGCATCAAATTATTCTCAAAGTCTGTGATCATGGGACAAATACTTGGGTTATGCCTATGCCTAAAAAAAAATTAATCTAGCTATGAAACATGATTCATTACTGTTTACCCTATAGATTGCATGAGTTGGAACATTAAATTTATCTTAGCAATGAGATGTTGACTGGTCAACATGGTCATTTATGATCATATAGTTATAAGGCCTAACCTCTTGTTGGGCTCATAACCATTATTTTCTGCAAATGGTCTAAAATGACCCATCCCATCCCTAGTCTATCACTTGTGAGTCATGACATATATAATAGTGCAAAAACTACAAAGAAAAAAAAAATAAATAAATAAAAGTTGGTCCTATTTACCAAAATTGACCATAGCTGACCATATTGACTGGTCAATTGACATGCTTTCAATTGACTGGTCAATAACCCATCCCTAGTGGTACCCCTTATGGCCCAAAGTAAGACTGCAAAATTTTGGCTTCAGGTATGGAGCTGTTTTGGGACAATAATTAATTAAATTTTGTGAAATTTAAAAAAAGGGGTACCAAAATTTTTTCATTTGATTGCAGTTCTGAAACATTTTTTTTATTAGAAGAACTGGTAATGAAAACTGTAGGGTTTTTTGGCCTTAAAGACAACAGCAGAAATTGTGAGGTAAGGTCTGAATAAAAATGTGTGGTATGCATTTAATAAAATATATGAGCTTTGAAATTACTCTCATCTTTTACTGAAGTATATGTAAATTCTGCAAATTTTTCCAATTTGTTGAGCTGCATAAAAAATGGCACCATACAATTGAAAACTGTTTTCTTTTTGCAAAATTTGAGATTTTTGTATATTTAAAGCCATGACTCCCTCAGTGGAATTGGTTGGGACAAAATGGGACACATCATTGGAACTTTTTCCACTGATTCCAAAAACATACATGATGATAGGGTTTTATGAACATGCTGATGTTTTACAAATTTCTGAATATGCCAAAAATTGGCAAATTTGATAGAGCTTTCATTCAGTATCACCTCAAAGAATAAAATATATTAAATAATTTTGGAAGTCTAATCTTTTTTTCTTTTTTTAAAAAACAAAAAAACAATGGTGTTAGCTAGGTTTTTTAGATGGAAAAATTTTCAGCCCACATGAGCATGAACAGGTGCCCTTTTGTTTAAATTTCACAGAAAATTGAACGAATATTGTCCCAAAATGGCTCCATACCTGAAGCCAATATTTTGCATTCTTACTTTGGGCCATGATGGGTACCACAAGAATTTTTTTGTCAATATGAGAGGGGGTTATGCACCAGCCTCTGGCTGATTTGAGATGGAATGACCCTACTTGAGTTTCCCTTTTACCCTCTCCCTTATGAAACTGAATCATGTTGGTTACAAAAAATTATAATCAAAGCAGTTTTTAAATTTTTCTTTGAACTTACCACTAATTCTGTTGAGATGGTGAAGCTATGGCACACATGAAAGGTTAAATAGGAGCTGTGATCAATGGGACCAAGAATAAAGTGCAGCAAGAAATATGAATCCATTTTTCTATACAAATTCGCCCACAAAGTGACCTTTTGATAAATATGTTTTCTATTTAACAAAAAACCCAAAAGGCAAATGCCAAAAGCACCCACTAAAGAGAGGAAATCTCTCAAGACAAAATTTATTGAGGCAAAATTCTTAAATTGAAAATTCTTCTCACCAAAAGTTATAGGATGAATTAAGCAATAAAAAAAACTTAATTTACTAATGTGGTAAGTCTCCTTGGGGCAGTTTCCATTCTCTTCAATGTACTGTATTCCGTAACTTTGATGAGAGGGTAAATTCAATCAATTTTTGCACATGATTCAGCTCTATGATCTTCACTCTAGTTTAGGCAACATGAAACTTGGACTTTCCCCACATGAAAAATCAGAAAGCAATTTTAAGATAATAGGGTAAAACCACCTAAACGTTTATCACCTCTAACGTTTATCATTGACAAATACACATTTGCGAGAATGACATCAGAAGGAGTTCTTGACCCAAGATGACCATGTTACTAAGTGAAAGACTTTAGGTGGCCATGATCATTGAGTACGATTTTGAAATATTGGCCAGAAATGTATGTCATGAAATTTCTCCTATCATGGACAGGAGAAATTCAAGTAAACACAGAGAGAACCTTACTTGAGAAATGCTTCCCTCATAGTATTGTTAATTCTGTGATCAATTCTTATTCCACAGGAAACTGGGGAATTTTTAGCACTGCTACAAGGGAATACACATGCCATGAGCAGATTTCTGCCTTACTTCTGGAGTGTCAAAACTACCTTGTGTTCAAACTTCATTTCTTCGCATCTAAGTTCGGACACCTATGTAACAGAAACTATCAGAAGCTAAGTGGCTTAGAAGGTCATTATCTTCATCACGCTCATACCTACTCACATTGTGCTGCTGGATGTAAAAAAAATAAGTAAGCATAATAAATAAATAAGCATCAAGATTGTACCATAATGCATGATGAACAAATTGCAATCCTGTCCTGCTTTAACTGTCCAAACAATGGTGGTTTTACCTTATCACTTGTTTCTTCTTAAAAGCATGCAACAGGAATAGATACAGTAAACATTACTCATTTCCTGCTATCCTTAGGCCTTCCTTCTTGGTGCTGCTTCCAATAAATTTTTTTTACTTAATGAATTGCATGCTAAGAAAGCCAGCAGAAAGAATAAATGAAAAAATGGTAATGTACATTTAAAAAGTTGTATATACAGGTAAAAAGTTATATGCACATGATTAAAAGTGAAAAACCAATTCATCATACCCTGTATAATGAATTCATTCCATGCTTGGATGTGCATTCTGATATTACAAACTCTTTCTGTTGAACACAATGAAATGAAGAACACAAAGTAAAAAGATAAAGAGGAGTACAGTGAGAGCCAAAATTGGTAGAACAAAGCAATTACTACTTACTTATCAAGTGCTAGAATGAGAGGCTCTAAGAAAATGGCCAAGATTAGTTTTCTCCTCAGAACTCAAGGGGATTATTTTACTTCAACAATTATATCTATAATGTGTAGAAGTGACTGTACCATTGAGGAGGACACGATTGGTATCACCAGGACACATCTCAACATTGTGAGCAGCACTTCCTGCACGTCTCCACAAGACCTTATATTGTGTTACAGAAGCAGGCAGTAGTTTCCAGGAAACCAACAGCATATGAGGCCCCTTAGCTTCCAGCTTCACTTCATCAGGTAGTGATGAAGGGACTGAGCATGAGAAACACAATCCATAATTTATAGAACATTAAGATCCATTTTTGAAAGGAATTCCAAGGTCACTCACTTGAGGCTTGTGTAGACCAAATAAATTTCTCTGAGAAGGGAGATGCAGATGAATTGGTATATGCTCTGACATAGAAGGTGTAATTGATGTTGGGGAGGAGACCATCAATTGTAACATGTGGACTTGTCACCACCTTCTGCAGCTCATTAGTTGATGTTTCTAGAGAGTTCCAAAGAAAAACCTTTGCTTAGTGTCTTCTTGGATGCAAATCATGTGGTGTGACTGAGAACAGATCTCATACTTGCTAAAAATTTCTAGATATGAAGTTGAAAATAAGCCCAACTTGGGGTGGCTGCACACCAAACTAGCCCAGTTTAACATACAGGATAGGTCAAATTAAAAGTTTGTCTTTCATATATTGTTTGTTATGCCCAACCAATAAGTGCAACTACACTTTTCTAATTGGAAGTAATATACTTTGAGGTAATATACTTCTTTGAAGTAATAGGGGTCGGAGCTCATCATGGAGCTTGAAAAAAAACCATTGAGTTTGGCAATGTCACATGTCTCCAATGTCATCACATCCCACATCCTTAGGAGACATGACAAAAATATTGAGTGCACACAGGACAAAGGGCACAGTCAAAGTGCAAGTCGAACCCACAAATTATGGATTTTGGTCTTTGGGTCCGGATTAAATACACTCAGAGACTTCCAGGAAGGCTTCAGTTATCCCCGGAGGTGGGCGTCACCGTGGATGGAGAGGATAGTTGACAATGTATTTCATATTTAGAAATAGCTCTTCAGGTATGGTGGTGTCCTATGGTTCAGTTTCAATACAGTGGCAACAGTATGATCATGGGCAGTATTCCACAGTTTTCATACAGTAGCGGTAATACCGAAAAATGTAGAAGGGGTCAGTATGGTTATCATGAGAACCAAATACTGCAATATGATGAAAATACTGGTATACCACAATGCCCTAACCCAAATGTCTGGTACTTTTGCTCACTTATTTGTCTTCCAGACAAAATGCATGCTAATATTCAGCACAATAATGGATTTGGTACTTGAATTTGGTCTGAGAAGATGCTCAAACTTTCAGTTTAAGGTAATTGGCCAAATATTGGTACAAGGAATTTCTTTCTGCTCAGTGCATAAACAAGATCAAGCATAAAATGACATATCTTTTGACCCTTGCCTTCTTTAATTAGAGCATTTATCTACATGTTATCAATCTACAACTGAAAGAAATCACTTCAAGAGGCTCATGGAGCCCCACTCCACATTCCTCCAACCTATGGCAAGAATGGACAATGGCCAGCTGGATTTCTAATTCAGTAAAATAGGCTTATGTCAAATATTTTGGTCTTGAAACATGGAGAAGGAAACAAAACCAAAAAGGGATAATCATTACAGCCTACCAGTTGGGTAGTAATGAGCAGAATAGGCTATGACGGGACCATGGGAAGGGTCCCAGGACAAGATGATGGCAGAGGGAAGCAGAAGCTGGACACGCAGGTTCTGTGGGGCCTGAGGAATCAAATCCCATGGCCTTAGCTGTTGCATCTGGAGCTTTGCTGCAGCCATTCTCACCCCTGCTGCATTGCTTGCCACACATTGATAGATCCCTGCATCTTCCACAACAGAGTTGCTCAAAACCAGCTGGTTCCTTTTCAAGATTTTGACTCTTCCTGTGACTGCCAATGGCTTCCCATCCTTCAACCATTGGATTTGGGGCTGCGGCCACCCATCTGCTTCACATTCAAACCTGCAAAACCATTTAGAATGCTTCTGCTTGCAAAATATTTAATTGGAAAATGTGAAGCTCACTGGCTTCAAAAAGTTTATTGTATTTCAAAGCACTTCCTGGGAAATACTTTGCACTTCTTTAAAAACAACTTTTACTCCCATCTGCTACCCCATGGATTTAGTGTTGACACACAATAGGAACTGTGGATTTGGGGATTAGGAAGGAGGCAAAGAAAACATCACAGTGGCAAGTAGTTGTCATGGATATCTTGGTAGAGGGGACAAGATACAAACAGAGCTCACCTACATCAATGTCAAGAGCCTACACTAATAAGTTAACATCACCTAAAAGGGACTATGGGAGATGACGCACCGGATGGTTTTGGCAATGGGATGTTCCACTGACTCAGGTGTTCTGATGAAAGTAGGTGGGACCTGAACAGTGAGTTGCAAGATGTGCTTCTTCATCACAATTTGAGATGGATTCCGTGGGTCTTGAGAGGAGGCTGTACATTCATAGATCCCTGTATCCCTTGCTGACACATTCACCAGTATCAAACTCCCTTTCCCCTCCAGATATGCCGTCCTTGGCAATGGCTTCCCATCTGTACCACACAACCAGGAAAACTTGAATAAAACTTATTCACAAAAATTAAAGCATATTTTTTTAATATCCCTATTAATTGGATGGAAAATAAACAATGTATATGAGTAGCCTTCATCAGTTCACACAACTGTTTAGAAGGATATTGATTATGACCCACCCAATAAAATAAAGACAAACAAATCAACCCTTTTACAGATTGCAATTGAAGTTTGGAAGCAAATTTGCCTATGTTGCATTTCAAAGAAAACAGAACCTGAAATTAAGGGAGAAAGAGAGATTCACCTTGTCGTGCCCAGGAGAGGGTTGGGGAAGGGGAACCCAGAGCAAGACAGGGAAGAGAGATGTTCTCTCCTTGTGTCCCTGTCTCATGTTGAGGTAAAGGAAAGAAAGTTGGGGGACGGAAGTCCCTCAAATCCACTAGAGGCTCGCTCACACTCAATGTCCCCTCTGCACTCACACGTCCACGATCCAATGCCTCATTGCGTGCCACACACCTGGAACAGATAATTAAAATGGCAATTTTTACTTTCCTCAATTGGAATCTCCATTTATCAGTGCCATCTTGCCAGGAGATCCAACATTAATCTTCATAATTGCAGCTCTGACTCCAGGTGACAATTTAATGCCTTGTTAACTTCTCATTAGTGGGAGGAACTTGGACCACAACCGTATGAGCTCATCAACATTGACTCTCATCCTCATATTCAAACAAGAAGCATGTTACTGAGCTGAGTTCCACTAATACAAGTCCCACTGCAGAATGGAACCAAAAATGCCTGAAATCATTGTGGCATTACCCAGGAGCCAGATGTCTATTTAAGGATACCAGAGCCATTCCAGATAACTACTATTTACATTCTGTCTTCAAACTTCCAAAGGAGCAGTCAAAAAGAAATTATCCTCTCTTTGTAAGCATCAAGTGATAAAAATGCAAAACTCACCTGAATTTACCCGCATCTGATAGGCGTACATCATGAATCTCTAGGGTTCCTGAGCTTGTTACAAGGTATCTACAAAAGAAAGGAAAGAATGGTTTATTAGATATCTATACACATCATAACCTTAATACTTAATAATTTTATGAATAGCTAGAAGGAGCAGCTTAAGTTTTGGGTTTCCCATAAATTTGTTCCAAGAATTCATTTCTGAGTGGAGCCACCATGTCCTTCAGACGAGATTCGTGAATAACACAAAATGCCAGTCTGCAAGGCTATGTATGCTTCTAATACCAAAGAACCTGCAGTTAATAAGGAATAATTTGTAGGGTTTAAAAAGGTGCTATGATCTGATTTTTTATGCATTATTACATGTTAATTTTATTAGATGTAAGCATGTTCTTCTTTACAGAACCAGGCAGAGGTTTTTGCAACCTAAAGAAAAATGGCTTTAAAATTTAGACCCACACATTACTGCAATTCTATTCATCAATGAAAAACAATTAACATTAACAATGAACGTCAATCAAAAAATCTCAGCTGAATTCATGAATCACAGGGCCAAGGAAGGGTAGGCCAAGTTCATGACAGAAAAACCCTTTCCTGGTTCTGCAATGGTCTTGCCTATTCCTGTCAAACTAGACTGGTAAGCCTATTTCATCATAAACACATGGAAACTTCCCATACTTTCATCACTAACCTTAATGCAGAATTCCTGATGAAACCATTCAGTTTCTACACCAACAAACAAGCTATATAGAACCACTGAGCTTCTCTAAACTTCATTTTCACATCAAGAATTCAGGCAAAAAGGCCTTTTTAGAAGATTATGTGCTACCTTTGCATGGCTAAGGAATGATGAGAGTACAGCATGGAAGTTTTTCATTCTTTGAAAAAGGATTACAAAATTGTTGCAAGAGGAATGTTTCATTCTCATGGAGATGGCACAACTTTGATGCCATTGTCTGTAATGTTAAGACAACTGGATTCAATGACAAGTAGTTAACAACTTCCCTTGTGACAACCTGGTAGGTGAAGGAGTGGCGGTGGGCTCCTTTGTGCCTATAGAGCAACCCACCTGCTGTCTTATCTGCCTAACATCAAGGCAACACACATGCCACTCTGCATGCCAAATCTAAGAAATTTGGTTGCAGTACAATTATCATTAGTATTTGTCATGGGCTCATGAAAGCCTGTTTGCTGCCCCAATAGGACATCAGAGGGGCTTCCCTGCAGGAAGGTTTGCAACTGGATGCCAGAACCAAGGAGACATCCCCTTTCTCTGTGTCCCATAATTGAGGAAGTAGTTGTTGTTTTCCATGTCTCAAGCAAATTTAATTCCTTCCGTTTATTTTCAGTTTGGATTGGTCATAGGTCTAGTACATATAGCTCTATGATAATGTCCAGTCTTCAACATTAACAATCTTTATTGTTTAAACATCACAAGATTTCTAATGCAACCAAAGGAAGACTTGTCCAATACTAGCATGCAAAACCTGATATGCTTTTAGCAAAGGCTACACAGATAGTATATCATTTGGTAGGAAAATCAATACATATTTCCATCCTTCTAACAGCTTTGAATTAATTGAATAATACCATTCTCATTTACATTCAATTTTAAAAGCATAAGGAATTGGGAGATTAAAACCATATGAAAAATATGATCAAAAGTGCTGGCAAAAAGAGCAAGAAGAAATACACTGAACTGGAATGCGAAAATAAGTAATACACATTGAAATTGATTGCTTATAACTCTTATCCTTCTGCATGTACTTCAGGAAAATGAGAGGTGCTTTGCATGGTTGCCCAAAACTTTGCATAATATCTTCTACCAGTTCAAGGTAATACAACTTTCTCCTCCTATCCAGGTACAATGGAATCCTGGTCAGAGAAGCCCAATACATTGCATTACACGATATTTTTTCATCTTACTATGATTATAGAAGTCACAAAGCATACATATTGAGGGTAAAAAAATATCAAGGCAGGAATACCTGGGAAGCAACTGGCATTAATGAATAAATAATAGGGATCTAAGAAGATATGGGCAAATTGTAGACCACTAGAAGGAATAATAAGGCCTAAAAATAAACAGGTCAGAAATGGGTGAAGGAGGGCTTCTTGGTTTATTTTATCTTATTGCAAAAAACTTCAATGCACCATAATCCCTGAATTCAATCTGAAAACAGTGCAAAAAGTCATTCAGGATGGCTACCTGTGCCTACACATATTTGTATGACCATGATTGGGAGATGAGAAATGAGAAGAAAAAAAAGATGGAAGATGATCTCACCTGGAGTTCTGAGGTAGAGGCAACCGATCCCTTTCCCACTTCAGGGTGGCAGGGGGAACAGATGCAATTTGGCACCGGAATCGAGCCACATCACCCAGATACACCTTTGTGTCCTTGGGAGACTCTGTGAACTCTTTCAGCAAAACTGGGGGGGGGAAAGGAAATACAATTGACCTCTCCATCTATTCCTGTGCCAGGTGATCTGTAGCTAATCATTGCTGATCTCTGCAATTAAAGCATTTCTCTTCACTCTTTAGATTTAAAAAAAAAAAACTCTGGTAACTCTTATTCACATTGATCAGAAATGGTGATGCACCATAACTATAAGGGTTCCATGGGAATGCATGAAGCTTTTGCATTACATTTTAATGGATATTCTTAGATCTCTTCTCTTTTCTTTCGTATGGAAATGTATCCTCTCCATATTCCTCTTAGGGTGACCCAAACAATATAGGGTGACCCAAAAGTCCTGGCACACTTTTTATGGTTTAAAAAATTGTTTGAGTCACAATAATATTTTCTAAACTTTACAGTTTTTATACGGTAACACATTTGTGATATTAGGATACTGGGTTTTTTTCCCCAATGTTTGTTGTTTATTGTAAGATTGTGGAATAAATATGCTAACCTACATATGTGTCAGGACTTTTGGATCACCCCAATTTTCCATTTCCATTAGCACATTTGCAAATGTATTATCGGCATCAGTATGTCAGCATAACCATCTTGCAATTTCGGAAATTCCATTTCCAGTCCCATCCACCCAAAATGGCGAGGAAAAAAAAAATATATATATATACAGTAGAACTCGATTATAACGAAACCTCGATTTTAACGATGAAGAGCGCCAGGTCCCGGCGTAGAGCCCGTGAGGTACGTGAAATTTTACCTCAGTTATAGCGCAAACCTCGGTTATAACGAAGTTCATTTAAGGTCCCACTGACGAAACAGACAACGTTGAAGTCTCCAACTCGTCATTCTTAACTGGAATTTCCATCATCAAAAAGAGTGCGCGAATCTGAAAAAGAGTGCGCATCTTTCCTGAAATCAGCATTCCTTGAGGGTCACGTAGGTGTGACTGGAGGAGGGTAAGGAAGGGACAATCCCCATTAACTAAAAAGATCATGTTCTATTCAGTCGCCAGTTGTACTTCTCGTTGACAACATGGCCAGTGAAAAGCAAAAGTGGCAAGCTTTCGCAATTAACAAGAAAAAATGCATAACACGTTTAATAGAAAGTGGGCGAAGTAAAGCTGACGTCTCTCATGAACGCAGACCTATTTCATCTATTTCCACAATTTGGAAAAATCGTGACAGCTTCATCCGTACTTAGGAGAACATGCCACAAAACAAGAAACTTTGTAGATCTGCTCGAGATGACGTCAACAAATCTCGCTAAAGTTAGTGTGGGCCGATATCAGTACGACCGATGTCGTTAGAACTAAATTTGTATACAGCATCTATAATGAAAACAAGGAAACGGAATGTCAATAATTGCAACCTCGGTTATAACAACGATTTTTCCCTGGAATGAAGTTATAAGTTCGACTGAAGTTATAAGTAATAAGTTCGACTGTACAGGGTGACTCAAAAGTCCTTGGAAATGACAGGGATTTTTGAATCAATTCCCACAATATGTTTTCCGTTCAAGCATGATGCACCACTCTCTACTCCCTCCAAGTTTGACTCAGATTGCTCTTCATACCAGGATGCTGGAGGCCCGAGACGCGATAATTTTTCACCACAAAAACGGACATTCGGCAAAGCAGATTGAGAAGCTGCTGAAAGTGCCTCGTTCCACGGTTTGCAACACCATCAAGCACTACAAGGAGCTTGGAACAAGTGCAGATCGATCTGGAAGTGGCCATTCATCAGTATTTAAGAATGTGCGGCTCGTCAGACAAGTGAAGAAGCTACTCGAACGGAATGGCGAACGCTCTGGACGAAAGCTTGCCGCAACTGTCGGAGTGGACAAAGAAACACTTCGAAGGTTTCTCAGAGACAAGCTAAACCTCAATGCTTACAACAACAAAAACAATGTCCAGCTTTTACCAGATCAAAACAAGAAGGCTCGGGTGAAAAAAGGCAGAACTTCTCCTGAAGGGCTTCAAGAAAGGTTCACATCGCGACATCCTCTTTTCCGATGAGAAGATCTTAACCGTAAAGCAGGCTCACAACCCTCAAAACAATAGTGTCTGTGGTAAAAATGTACGCTGCATGCAGCCGCATCATCGCCTTGTCTATCGGACGCAAAAACCAGCTTCTGAGGGTTTTGGCAGGATTTACTTCAACTAACAAAACACCACTGCATTTTGTAGCGCCGCAGGTCAAAATCAATGCTTCCTATTATCGAGAAGAGGTCTTAGAAGGTCTTACTACCCTAGTTCCAAGAGCACTCCCATGGCAGAAGCTGGGTCTTCCAGCAAGACTCAGCCCCAGCACATAAGGCGAAAAGCACAATCGAATGGAGCCAAAAAAATTTTCCTGGCTTGATCACACCAGAAGAATGGCTTTCCAGCTCACCTGATCTGAATCCAATGAATTACAGTATCTGGTCTTATTTGGAAGCCAAGATCTGTGCAAAAGCCCACCAAACTTAGGTGGCTCTCAAACGTGATTCCAGGCGCGCATGGGATGAAATGGAGGTCGAGCAGCTTCGAAACACCGTGGATAATTTCCCAAAACGATTGAGGCAAGCTCAAGGGTGACTATTTTGAAAAGGAAATACTCATTTTGTTGGTTTTTTTTTTAAATTCTCTTTCTATTGGTCTAATTGGTTTTGCTCTAGCTTCTCACTGCAAAGAAATAACGTCATGTTTCCATGTCCAAGGACTTATGAGTCACTCTGTATATATGCTCAGCCTTCTCCTTCGCAGACATAAGCTAGAGGGTCTTACCGCGCCTTCGATCTGTCCAGATTGTTAGAGGGGAAACAGAAAACAGAATAAAATAAACTGAGTGAATCAAACGTAAAAACACTGTACATTCATTACCAATTATTTTATTATCATATACAGCTGAAAGTCATCACGATCACCAATATATTTTTGCAGATGGCCTGAAACAGCCTTATATGGTTTTTCACATATGCACTCAGAATGTTTGCGAAATCGCCTGCCTACCTAACCTACCTAATATTACATTGCAGCAGCTAATGTTGACTGGCTTACGGAAAACGCGTTATTTTTAATGTACCCCTAAAAGAAAATGTCTAATGTAGTACGGAAACGGAGTAAAAAATGGAAGCCCTTCTACGTTTCCACGTCGACCTATCCAACGTCCCGAGAATGTAGATCCAGCAATTGGTGGACCTTTCGAATAAAAATACCAAGAACAATACACTGCATTTTAAATTGTGATACACACTGTATATTGGCATTGTATGATTGCATTAGATGCAGCCTTGAGCATGTCCTATTGGAAGCACTACTTATTTGTGCGGAGGTGATCCTTGCACTTGGCCAACACAATTTGTGATCATCAATACACGTATATTTTCCCCAATTCAGGATCAACATCCGAACCGTTGCTATGGTGTATACCAGGGGTGTCAAACTCAAATCGGTCTACGGGCCGCATTCCTTATCCTGCAGATGCCTGCGGGCCGCACCCATACTTTTTTCACCGAAATTTGCTCTAACAGTCAATCCAAGCGGAAATTTCAAGAACAGACGGCGGGCCGGATGAACTACCTCCGCGGGCCGGATCTGGCCCGCGGGCCGTATGTTTGACACCCCTGGTGTATACTGTTCCCCCTTCCTCCGTCCTGCAAGACTAGAGAAACTAAACGAAACGCATTGAATTCTATATTCCCATATTTGGAGTGACAACTTCGTCACTTCATCAAGTGTCCTTAGAGAAAGAAAAATGGGTATACACCCAAGAAATCCTCTCAGATTGAACCCCTTGAGACCCGACTGGCAGCTTACTTAACAAATCCGCTTTCTTCTACAGACCTGGGGTCTGAAGCAGCTAAGGACGTAGTCCTACACGCGGAAACTTTTTTCGCTTGGCGTGGCAGAAGACGAGGTAAGAGGAAAAGAGACCACACACGAAAGAGAAAATGGCATGTGGCCATGAAGAATCAGCTGCTTCTCTCTCAATCCCCTGCTGTTTCGTTTACCCAACCCCTGGGATAATCAAACCTCATTACCTGTAATTACGGCGCAGTGTGGGAGACGCATCGGGCCAATGATCTCGGGACTCTGACAAACCATTCACACCCATAACCCTTATCGGGCCCGTCTGTTTGATAGTGTTCCTTGCACCTTGTTCCCACATATTGCAAAGATTCGAAACTCAGCTGTTAAGTACATCGCACCTATATTCGCTTACAAGCGTTTCAACAAGATCCAGGGAATGCCAATGGCAAATTAAGTGACTGAAAAGTCATTGCCATTCATTCGATAGGTCCAGTTCAATCGACAGGACAGGGCGGCATAACTTCTAATAGTGAGAAGAGGAGGAATATTGGAAGGCGAAGAGGAAAGAAAACACCTGTGCAGGAGTAAGAAAGAAATGGAGAGAGAAGCGACATGGGACTGGAGAGAGAAGGGAAGCGTAGTAGTGTACTCCTCACTACTCACTTCCTCTCTCCCGATCCCACAGTCCCACTCCCACTCACACGTGGACGGCCTGCTACGCTGTTGTCGCTGGGTCGATCATTCAAGGTTGATTCCATTGGTCAATGCACTAGCCTCCACCAGGGTCTCTCCGCATTCTTTCCCTTCCTTCCTTTCCCCTTCATCCTTTCCCGCGCAAACCTGCCTTCATTCCTGCGCATTCCATCGCATTACAACTAACTACGAAGTACTATTCTCCATCTCTCTTGATTCAGATTGGATTTTCACTTGCAGAACGGCAAGTATGGATGAATGATATGCCGCAATGCACATGAATTCACTGCTCTTGTATGGAGTATATACCAATAACAATAGAGACGAACAGGTCTCTTAGATCCCTGGAGTGTGTGTGTGTGTGTGTGTGTGTGGGGGGGGGGGGGTCATAAGAGAGGGCGCACGCGTGTGGAATGCTTCTCATTCCTCTCTTCTCAATCACACACATTCACATACACCCACTGGATGCTTCTCACTACCACGTGCTCCTTTCGATGATGGTGGGGCGGAGTACTTCTCGAGTCCCCCCTCCTTCCGATCCTATCCGTATCAGTACTCTTTTATCAACGTATCATGTAGAGGGGGTAACACCCTCCATTCATCGGTTACCTCATCTCATCTCGTTTCGTACCCTACGGAAGGTCTATCAACTATCACCGTCAAATTGGGAACGGACTTTTGAAAGGGGGAAAGATAATGGCACCCAGGCACACACCATGGATGACGGAAAATATGAATGATGAAAGAAAAGAAAGATTAATAGAGACGCAGATTGTGACGAAAATGACATGTAATTCAGTGGACGTCACTCTCGGGTGCTCTCCCAACAATAATGCGTAATCCCAGGCATGCGTTTCTTTCATTCACACCGTCGCGCCATCACCTTACCACGCAGAGACTACTGACGCAGCATGGGCGCAACGCAGGTTCATGCCTTGGTTCTTGTAAGATGCATTTTCTCTCATTTGTACAGCACGATAACTGCCTCGTACGCCAAATCAACGACCTGCAGATGTCTCCAGCAAGCAATGATCCCGCAAGTGCTAATAAAATGTACTTCATCTACTTGAGTACCGAAGTACTCATGTATATGGCACCACTGCTGGAAAGTAGACTTGTGCCAATGTTGCGACGACATTATCACAAGGAAGCGCTAAGTTAAATGCCGCAGAACTGCTGTAAGTTTGAAAACAGGCTTTAGGCAGCCTATGTAGCTCTCCTCACAGGCACGCGGATCACGCGTGAATGCAAAAGTGGTACACCTTCCTTCTCTAAGGTCTCTGACCTCACAGAGGCATGCTTTCCTCTTACTAGAATTTGTAAACTTGTATTTTTCCGGAGCCTAAAATTGTACGTCTGTTGAAAGTGTAAACGAGTACTTACCGTTAAAAGTCCATGCACTTAAAACTCGCTTAGGCAGTGTTTCTTCTTCGAGGATCACTAGTAATGACATAGTTCTGGCAGTTATTTCGTATATCGTAAGGACACCAAAGAGATTTCGAATATTTGGCATATTATTTCTTCTTTCACTATTAAGAAAAATCTGACCCACTTTTTGTGCTCTTTGTACATTTGTAGAAGGCACAACAGGTCATTTCCTTGTTCGTCTTCCAAAATTCTATCCTCCACTCATTAAAAAAGCGATTAAGTGAAGAACATTTTGATTGACACTGAGGAAAGTTGACACGGCAGGCAACAGCTCTCCAT